AATATTCACATATAAATATATATATAAATGTTTCTTGAACAGCAAATTATATCAGAAATAGTTCTGAAGGGTCATGTGACACTGAAGACACACACACCTGATGTGAAGACTTGTTCTTGCTCACAGCGCCTTCTAGAGGATAATAATGCAGTCAGAGACACACACACACACCTGTAGAAATGGTTACACATGTGGTTATTACGCATAATGAGAAAATGAACAATAACTGAAAAATGTTCCTTCTGTTAGTTGAGTTATTTTATCTTAACTTGACAAAATGACAAAAAACACAACAAAATTACTTAAAACTTTAATTAAAATTTAAATCATAACAACATATAAAAATAAAAACTGATTTAAAATTTTAATTAAAAACAATTACAGTCTCTCAGTGATTTAAAAATAATGTGCCAAAAACAATAGCACAATACACAAACGTCTAATTGTTTTTAATTAAGATATTACACTTAACATTTTTAAAAGACGTTTACTTTTTAACAATTTAAATATAACCTATACCTTTCACATTACAGGTGTGTGTGACGTACAGCCACGTATGAGATTCGTTTGATTGTCGTGAAAATAACGTCAACAATCCTTTAAAAATGCTGTTCTTCTATAAGTATGGATGTTTCATATTCATATTTACAGAGACAGGAATATCTGCAGTGGATTAGAGATCAGACAAACGGAAGCCGCTTTAGAGTCTTGTTAAACTTTATTTGGTCTTGCTCCTTTTTTCAGTCTTTCTTTGTTTTTATTTAAAATGTAAAAAGTTCCACAGGTTAAAAACCATTACAATTAGACGAACACACAATCAGCTCAACATCAGGCGTTCTTACGACACACACAAACAAATGGAGTGATTAGGACCAGCCCATTGAAAGACACACACACACACACACTATTTCGCATTAGCTTGAGATAAAGCACGACTCCTCGAACGGGAGATCGGACAGAAACACACAGAGGGGAAAGAGTTCAGATGCGTCTCCTGTTTTCAGTCTTTCTGTTGAGACACAGCGGTCTTGAGTTATATTTCTGTGTCCCGTCCCTCCAGTGACGAACATCTACAGCCCGTAGTGAGCATCCCAACGGGGATGTGTCTCGCTCCAGTGTTAAGGCCTCAGTGATAAATACTAATAGCTTCACAACGTCATTATCTTCACACACACACACACACACACACGAGGAGAAACGCTCTGCTCCACCTGAACTAGCTGTGGGGTTTAGTGTTCCCACATCTATGGAGGATTGGTAGAAAAATAAAAAAGAGAATCACTTTAGTTTAACAAAATGTATTCTTATTCCATGGCAGAAAAACAACTCAATTCAAGAAAAAATTGCGAGATTTAACTCTATGAGAAATGTATCAAATTATCAGATTAAAGTCGCAATAATTCTTTTTTATTAGATCATTTCATGTAGGGCAGCGGCTAAGTGATATAATCGTTCAGTTTATGGTACAAGCGTGACAATTGGCATGAGTCGTCTCCATTGGTCACTTGACAAGAAAATTGTCCGAGCCACTTGAAATTTCAAGATGGCCGATACCCTAGTAGAGCAGTTAAGTGATGTAGTGGTTTATTTGGTGATACAAGCATGAAAATTGGCATGAGCAACCCTTTCTTGTCAAGCAACCCGTAGAGACTGCTCATGCCAATTTTCATGCTTGTATCACCAAATAAACCCCTATATCACTTAACTGCTCCACTAAGGTGTCGGCCATCTTGAAAAATGGCCGCCATCTTGAAATTTCAAGTAGCTGTGGGTGGCTTATTGTCTAGTGACCATCAGAGACTGCTCATGCCAATTTTCATGCTTGTATCACCCAATAAACCCCTAAATCATTTAACTCCTCCACTAAGGTGTCAGCCATCTTGAAAAATGGCCACCATCTTGAAATTTCAAGTGGTTTCTTGTCAAGTGACCCATGCCAATTTTCACACTTGTATCATAAACTGAACGATTCTGCCAAACATAAGCACTTAGCCGCTCCACTAATGGTTGCAAAAAAAGGAGAAACTAAGAATTCGGAGAAAAAAAAATCTGAATTCTAATGCAAACTCAAAATTACAAGTTTTTAATTTGCGAAAAAGAGGGTCAAAGTTGTGATATCAAAAATGCAAATATCCTTTCTTTCTTTCATAGCAGAAAAAAATACATCTCGCAATTTGGACTTGTTTTCTTGCATTCTGTAACTCAGAATTATGAGTTAATAACTAATTGTGAAACAAGCTCGCAACTGTGAGAAATCTATAGAATTATCAGATCAAAGTTGTATTTTATTACTTCATGGCGAAAAAAAAATTGCAAGAGTCAAAGTTATGAGAGATAAATTTGCAACCGAAGTTCCGAATTAAAGTCTGATTGCAATAAACATTTTATTTATTATTTCATGGTGAAAAAAAAAGAAGAAAAAAAGTGTCCTAATCGCGAAACCGAAAAAGTCAAAATACTGAGATAAACATTTGCAATTACCGTTTATTTAACGAAAAAAAAATTTGCACGACGTAAGCTCGCAACTGTGAGAAATATATCGAATTATTAGATAAAAAGGTGAACTACCTTCTTTTATTACTTGAATAATAAAGCGTAGAGGGTAGTCTTCTCCTGAGGTCAGAGGTCGCAGAGCGTTTCTCTTCTCCGCTCGAGCGAGATCTGGGAAACTTTCTTTGGCACAGGCGTTGGGATTAAACAGGGATAGGATAAACCTGGGCTGAGTCATACGAGCATTCGACCGCAAACACCCGATACACTTCAAGCCAAATCCAAAAAATCATTAGCGTGACAGTTTAAAAACGTAATCAGGCCAAAACAGAGTTAGTTTGGAGTTTGTTTCGGGAAACACCTTTGAATTGTCATTGGTCGGTGGTGCTGATGATGATGTAATAGGTGGGTGTCGCTCTGAGGCTCCGCCTTCTTTGCCATTTTTTTTCTTCAGTTTGTCGAGGTCAGAATTGCTCAAGTATTTCGTGCTTGTTACCCCTAAGAGCGAGCGATGAAGAGAGCGGGTCGACCCGTCCCAGAGGAAACAAGAGGTTCTGGGATGACCAACACTCAACACTCTTCCTTTCCCAGAGTAAAGGGGAATCTCCTGGGGTTTGACTTCCCAGAGTTAGCGTGGATTAGAGCTGCACGACATTGGACAAACTGACATCGCGATATTTATTGAGATATATATCAGCCAATATATCGGTTATCGGCTTTCAATTAAAGCATTATCAGTTATTAGTATCGGCCAAAATGATCATATCGGTGCATTGCTTGGATACACATGTGCCGGATGTGGGCCGGATCTGGACCATGTTGAATCCACATGTGCCGGATGTGCAGGGCTGGATTAAGAGTTCAGGGGGCCCTGGGCACAATGTCTTGTAGGCCCCCTCTTAAAATGTCACATTTTAATATGGCATTTACAGTTTTACTGAATTAAAATTAACTTTGTTAAACTATGCTGGAGTAAAGTTCATAAATGGTTGTTCTTTCCTATAGGAATTTGTAAAACTATGTTGGGTGGACCCTTAATATAGCATTTATAGTTTTACTGATTTACAGGGGGGTTCGGGGGCATGCTACCCCGCAAGAAAATGTTATACATTTTAAGGTTAAATGCATCAATCTCGTGCTCTCTGAGAGATCACAAATAAGAGCTTCAACCCATGAACTGCTCGTTGAACAAAGAAAACGCATTGATTTGTACCAGGACAATAAACAGGGCTCAAACATCTCATCGAGTCTCAGTCTACATTACATTATCAATGGAGTTTTAGGATCCCAAACAATTATTATAATAATGTAATAATGATTTATAGAATTATTCCTGACGTAAAATCCATAAAGCCTATAAATGTACTATATAAATGAAAATGAATATTTCAAAAGTAGCCTATATTTTAGTCGACATTACACTATAATATAGGAAAATTAAAATACTTTTGTCCTTATTTCTTCACTTGCAAGAAATAAACCCTTGAGCTTGTATTTAGGAGAAAACACCACATGACCATCCTGATCGAGTGAGCAAAGTGCACACTTTTCTTTAATTCACCCAGCACTAACGGGATGCCTATTCTTAAAGTGTTGTGCTGTTTTATAAAGACAACAATCCATATCATGGTTTCGATTTTAGTTCGTTGGCAAAATAACACGCTAGAGACCTATGTTAGGTTAAACATTTTACATCTCATATGTGTTGGGAAAAGGGAGAAGAGACTTCGGCAAAAGGCGGATTCGAACTCGGGTCGAGCGCAACAGAACCTGACTCACGCGCTCTGCGCTCTACGACCTGCGCCACTGTGACGTGACCGGCGTCTTTTTTCATTAAACTCAGGCACTTAGTGCAAACATACGCTCCGTTTTATCAAACCGTCCCTCGCGACCTCGAAACACTACCGGCCCACCGGGGAAACTCCCGACCCTCCCGACTGCCACTGGTGTCCAGTGCCCCTTAGAGGTGCCCCAAGTGCCCAGTTGCCCTAATGGTTAATCAAGCCCTGCAGATGTGGGCCGGATCTGGACCGTGTTGAATCCACATGTACCAGATGTGGGCCGGATCTGGACCGTGTTGAATCCACATGTACCAGATGTGGGCCGGATCTGGACCGTGTTGAATCCACATGTACCAGATGTGGGCCGGATCTGGACCGTGTTGAATCCACATGAACCAGATGTGGGCCGGATCTGGACCGTGTTGAATCCACATGTACCAGATTTGGGCCGGATCTGGGCCGTGTTGAATCCACATGAACCAGATGTGGGCCGGATCTGGGCCATGTTGAATCCACATGTACCAGATGTGGGCCGGATCTGGACCGTGTTGAATCCACATGAACCAGATGTGGGCCGGATCTGGACCGTGTTGAATCCACATGAACCAGATGTGGGCCGGATCTGGACCGTGTTGAATCCACATGTACCAGATTTGGGCCGGATCTGGGCCGTGTTGAATCCACATGAACCAGATGTGGGCCGGATCTGGGCCATGTTGAATCCACATGTACCAGATGTGGGCCGGATCTGGACCGTGTTGAATCCACATGAACCAGATGTGGGCCGGATCTGGACCGTGTTGAATCCACATGTACCAGATGTGGGCCGGATCTGGACCGTGTTGAATCCACATGAACCAGATGTGGGCCGGATCTGGACCAGATTAGCAGGTGATTTTCTTGTGAGTTTGGATTGTGATTATTCGTACTGTTTTTGACCAGTATCGCGATGTCAGTTTAATCTGGGCGTACGGTGCAGCCCTGTTATGGGCCAGGGTTCAGAAGCGTTCGTCTCTGGGCAGCGCCGGGGACCGGAACGGGCTGAGGCCGAGGCTCCTGCGGGGGTGGACCCGCTCTTCCACCGGCCGAGCCCAGCCCAGGTCTATGAGCGGGGAGTCGGCCAGGTTCAGCGGGGCGACCCGCAGAGACAGATTCGGGCTGCCGTTGGTCGAGCAGGGCGCCGAGCGCGAGGTCGGGAAGGGGGTGGAGAAGGGGTCAAAGGTTGATCCGTGGTCCGAGTTCATGGAAGGGTCCACCTTCAGATTGAAGGGGTCACAGTCCGGCGAGGGGAAGGGGTCACAGTTCGTGAAGGGGTTGTTGGGCGAGGGCTGGAAGCCCAGGCGAGGGCTCGTGGGACTGCTGGCGGGCTTCCTAACGCCGGCTCGGTCCAAGGCGCCGGCCGATACGAAGCTCCAGGGGTCGATGCGGGGCCGGTTCGGGGACGGGCGTGGGCGAGGCACGATGTTGACCTCCAGACGACGGGTTTTGGGGCTCCACAAACGGGGGTCCGGGTACAGGGCGAACGGCATCGGGGACTTGTCCTCCGCCTCAAACGTGTCTTGACACAACGGAAGATCCAACACTAGTAAAGAGAGAAGGGAATCAGCGTCAGTTCACCAGTGCTTTGGATAAATGCACAAATGTAACATAATTTAAACCAATGTTTCAATATTCAAAATGTAACTTAAAAATGCCATCTTATTCTACTAGAGAAAGTTTCCAGGCTCTCCTAGAACAGCTTCTCCTGCTTGAATGTTGATTATTCTCCTCATATTCTCCATTGTTGCGGCTCCTCTCTTCCCAGTCTGTCAGTAACGCTCTGTTTACTTCCTGTCTCTATGAAGCCCCTCCTCCTGAAAAGCACACTGTGCTCTGATTGGTCGGCTGAAGGGGTGTGTTGTGATTGGTCGAGCGCTTTGAGTGTGTATGGGAAATGCCCCGCCCCTTTCCATAACCGCCAGTTTAACACACTACTAACTAACTTAAGCAGGCCCCGCCCCTTTATTCTGCGCATTAATTATTATAATGAGGAATATTGTGACGTGTTCATTCCCGGAGAAACTCGAGACTACAGTTTCAGGAGTTCAGGAAACCTGACGCTGATGTAGAGGAGAACTGGAGCTTCTTCATGATCAAACAGGACGCAAGTCCTCTTTAAAACATAAATATCCTAGCATTATTTATGCAATTGTAATTGCAGTGTAAACACATCTAAATCATGATTTGCAGTGAAAAAGTGGACTTTGTTAATGCCGATTTCATTTGATTGGGAACAACCTGTTTAATGGTGAAATATCTGATATCTGGCAGATGCTTTTATCCAAAGAAACGAATACGTTTTTATCATTTAGACCCATGACTTTGGCATTGCGAGCTAAAACAGTAAATGCAACTAAAACAAAATGAGATTTGTGCAGTAATTAATGCAATGGGATTTCTAGACAGCCGATTGGCCGAAATTTAATATGCAATTCTAATTGAAAAGAGTGAAAGAAACTGCATGAAGTGCACAATAAATGTAAGTTAGTGAAGGGGCGAGTGTTACCCAGCTGTGCGGAGTGCAGTCCGTGACTCGCCCTCCTCCTGCGCTCTCCGCTCTGAAGCGAGACCTCGCCGTCTCCGTTGGCGTGAGCCGTCCAGTCTCCGGCACCGTCCTGCGTCCTGCGCTCCCGGTCCCGGTCCCGGGGGTTCGGGGGCGGCGGCGTCAGCATTAGCGGCTTGATCTCGGGAGGCTTCAGGGAGTCCAGGAAGCCCTGGGGCAGAGAGTCTGTGCTGAAGGAGATCAGATCTCCCACGGGCTCCGGCACGGGCAGGTGAGTGCGGGACGAGGCCCGCGGCGGGGGGGTGGGGGGGTGCTGGGCCTCGAGGCAGCGCCCCAGAGCGACGGACGCCAGCAGGGCGGCGCTGCTGAGCAGAGAACGGTGTGTGTTCTTCGCCAGACCCCGGGGATCCGGCTTCGGGGAACCACAGGGGGACGAACCCCCTTCCTCACTCTCTGAACCCTCTGACACACACACACAAATATGAGACATATATACACTTTCAGTCAAAATATTTAAAGTGTAATTTATTCCTGTGATCAAAGCTGAGTTTATCATCATTACTCCAGTCTTCAGTGTCACATGACCCTTCAGAAATCACTCTAATATGAGGATCTGATGATCAACAAACATTTATGATGAAAACAATTGTGTTTTTTTTTTCAAGATTCTTTGATGAACAAAGTTCAAAAGAACAACATTTATCTGGAATAGAATCTTTTGTAACATTAAACACTAGCGTTGAAAAGTTTGGGGTCAGTCAGATTTCTTTTTGGTGGGAAAGAAATAAAATAAATCAATACTTTTATTAATCACAGATGAATTTAATTGATCAAAAATTACAGTAAAGACATTTATAATTTTACAAAAGATTATTTTTTAAATAAATGTTGTTCTTTTGAACTTTTTATTCATCAAAGAATCATGAAAAAAAAATGTACGCAACTGCAATCAAAAGTTTTCATCATATTAGAGTGATTTCTGAAGGGTCATGTGACACTGAAGACTGGAGTAATGATGATAAATTCAGCTTTGATCACAGGAATAAATTACATTTTACCGTATATTCACATAAAACAAATTTTACATTGCATTATTGTAATAAATTGTCACTGTTTTTACTATATTTTTTTGTTTTGTGTCTTAAACAAATAAATGCAATTTATTTGTAAAAAATATATTATATATAATAAATTGAATATTATATGAAATAAATTCTTTTAAAAACATAAAAAAATCATACAGATCCAAAACTTTTAAATGGCATTGTATATAGATAGATAGATGTGTGTGTGTGTGTTACCGTTGTGGCTGGATGGTGTGACGGGTCTATACTCCTCGAAATCAGCTTTAGATTCGTCATTCTCATTACTGTCCATATCCAGGAGTTTGGCTCTCATCGACAGACTGACACACACACACACACACACATTAGACCACTTGACTTCCTCTGTTTTGCACACAAACGCTTGAGCAAACGCTCACCTGTTCTCCGGCGCACTGAGTCGCAGGATCTTGGGGCTCTTGGGGCTCAGATGAGGAGTGAACCTCCTCTCGCCGTTGGCTTGCTTGAGAGGAAGAGACTCCAGTGGCCAGACCGAACTCCACTTACTCTCACTGGGACTCACTGGGACACACACAGATGTGATGAAACAACAGCGCCGCCATGTGGCACCAGTGAATCTGAAGAGGCTCACAAACGCATGTTCACACAATCATTTACAGGTCCCGTAGGTGGATATATCTGTACACACTCACGCTGTATCGCTCGGAAGCGCGGGCCGATGGACGGAGAGCCCAGATCTGGAGAGTTACGCCTCTTCTCCAAGCCCGGAGACGCCTGCACCGTGATCTTATGGATGAAATCTACAAGCCAGATCTACAGTCAACACTAGTCATCAACACAACAGACAGTTGTCTCATCAAATCAGTTTTCTCATCAATGATATTTCAGACTAGTGGAAATAAAACATCCAAAACACACATTTTACTGTTTATTTATTCCATTTATCTATTTGCATCCGCACATTTCACTTACAATATACATCAATAAATTAACTTTTTCTTCACTTCAGTGACACGTACATACACCAAAATTTAGAGTTTTATTCACATCTATATTCTGAAGGTTTTTACTGAGGGGTTTGTTCATATATCACTCAAAAACATTTTTATAACATTTTATTCCTAAAAACATGAAGAAAATGTGTTTTTTCCATCTGTTGACTGTTTTCTGATTTATGGAGTGATAAAAAGAGTAATCAAAAAACCCTTCTATAAAAACCTTTAACTCTAATATGTCAACAAAATCAATCAAGAATTTGGAAATTGACTTTATCCAGCGTTCATATTAATCTCCTGGAACGTAAATTAGTGCATATTTACTTATTTAATTTGCATTTTTACACAACATTTCAGAAAACTTGTAATACAAAGCAATTGTCTTAATTTTGTTTTGTTCAATATGTTTATTTTCCCCCATTCACCAGTGCATCTCGTTTGGACAGAGAAACCACATGGTAATTATTACTAACGATGTGCAGAAATGTGTGTGTGTGTTCTGCTCTCTGCTGTTTTTTCCATTCTAGTGTCATAACACATAATTAATGTGTGATTGCAGCTCATTAATATCTTAAATCAAGAGAGTGTAATAATTAGAGGCTCTGATTTGCTTAAATACACTGATCGCAACAGATTAGCTGCTACTCTGCACATCCCAGCAGCAGCGGTGCAATCATAAAATAAAAGTCCTGAACATCCTAGAAACTGCATAATGTACCAAAATAATCCAGAACTGTCTATCAGCCACACTAAAACTGATCTGAGAACTTCTGCTCATATTTCATTACCATTTTCTAAACTATAGCGAATAAAGTGTGATCATGTAAAAAATGTTGAAGGTGTCTGAATACAATTTGACTGGTTTTTGGACTGGAATGTCTGTTCAATTTAACTCCACAATTAGATAATACCAGTTCAGCTCAAGCAGTGACCAATGCTTCATGTTGTTCAGTGTGTGTGTAAATTACAGAAAACACACTTCAGCAGAACATCATCAGCTCAAACTGGAGGAACCATATTTGCTCCCAAATTTTTACTAGTAGTCACTGTATGAATAATTACTGCGTGTAATATGTCACAGTTTACTTTATTTTGCTCTCCACACTTACATAAATGAACTATATTGTCCTGCACACACTAGCGAAACAATATAAAAAATCATATCTGTTGTCTGAATAATTTTGACAGTAGCAACGCACTAAAAACTAGTAGGACCCCCATATCCCATTAAAACCCCTTCAACACCTATCCTCAGTGCAGTGGCTTCTGAATGGGCAAACACTTCTTCATTACATGTGAAAATCTAGTATATTCCTATGAGCTTTAAAACGAAACAAGCATTGTCAGGGTTCCTGCACTTTTTTTAAAGTAAAATTTAAGGCTTTTTAAGACCTTTTTAAGACCTGAAGAAATCAAAATTAATACCATACATTAGGGGTGTGTGATATTGACAAAAATATATCTCGATATTTTCAACGTTTTGTTGATAAACACAAAACAAAAACAAAATCAGTAAAATATCAACTAATTATTATTAACAATAATTAGTTGATATTTTACTAATTGTGTTTTTGTGCTGGTGCCATGGCTGGTTTAGGCCTGTTGTTGACAGCAGACTCAGAGATATTTATATTTTTCATATTCTATGCAGTGGTCAGTTCACAGCAGTGACAGAAATTATTAATTAATGTGCAATATTTGCCACCTTAAATTGATTTCCAGGGCATTTTCACCTATTTATGGAGATTTTTTTTTCTAAACTTATTTAGAGTTATGCATCACGTGCATCACATATATACAGTAATTATACTTATTTATAAAATACTATTTAATTACACAATAATTATACAGTACCACTGTTAGCAGTCAAATTAAATCATTCAATCAAAAATCCATCTTAGCAGTGCAGAGGTGACACAGAAGCAGCATTAGAAGTGGCATTAATATACACTCCATTTACAATTGCATAAATCAAGCTATAAGGTTTTTTTTTTTAAATCAATATTCAATATTTAAATGTGAAATGATTTCTAATTTTTTACTTTTAATTTGAAACTAAAACCGCCAGTAGGCGGCGGCAAATCGCTGTCTTAATAAGCGAGTTGAGGGAGTCATTCATTCAACCGATTTGTTCAAACGGGAAAGAAGCAAGTGATTGAATCGTTAAAATGACTCGTTCAAGACGCGGATTTCCTTCAAGAAATCATCGCTGTCTGTTGCATTGAGACTCTGCTACGGTTTCATTTTGAAATTCTAGTCGGCGAAATAAAGGAAAAACAAACAATATCGATAATGTTATGTCTAAAAACTAACTCACAATGTCAATTTATTTTTAATTTAACTATTGTATAATATAAATATCACACGTGTGCACGGGAAAACGGCACTCTTACTGATGTGATATTCTAATATAACAACATGATATAAATATAAGGCAAAAACTAATTTGGGGACATACCTATAACCATAATAAATACATGTCTATGCCTATAACTGCACACATCACGCCGTGAAAAAACGAGAGACTATGCGATGTCAGCTCACACTTACACTCGCCTATATAATATAATATAGCCTATGCGAGAGAATGAACAGATCACAGATTTCTTTCTTTCTTTCTTTCTTTTTTTCTTTCTGTCTTTCTTTCTTTCTTTCAAGGGGTGTGTTTGGACATTCATTCCCCCGGGGCGATAAGTCTCACGCCAAGCTAAAATCATAAGTTGCCAGCTCTGGCTTTAAGTGCGGTGACATGTAAACTGTGATGAACCGTGTGTGTGTGCCTCACCCTGCGGCATGCTGATCTTCTCCCCGTTCTTCACCTTCAGCTTGTGCTTCTTGAAGGTCCCCTTGCGCTTCTTGACGTTGGGCTTCTGGTTGTGGTTGAGGTGCAGGATGAGCAGGGACAGCTCTCGCTCGAACACGTCCTGCTCCCACTGGGCCAGCTGCTGCTCCCGCTGACGGAGGAACTCCTCATGAGACTTCTGCTCCAGAGCCGCACGCTTCAGCTCCTCCTCACGGCAGCGCAGCTCCTACACACACACACACACACACACAGGTGTTCGGGTCATCTTAAAGAACTACATAAGCTAATAATCTAAAACAGCTCAAAAACAAAATGAAAACTGACAACTTATGTCTAATTTTTATTCATTTTCGTGTAATTTTTTTATTTAACCCTCAGGTGCTCTTCGGTCATTTCTGACCGAAAAATTTTCTGTTTTGAATTTCTAAAAATCACAGCTTCATCGGAATGTTACGAAACTTGGTGACTTTTATGGCATTATGTATGTGAACACACAAAAAAATTGAGGTCATGATCCGAGCAGGCTAAGTGGTCGTAAAAAAAATAGTCACACTTGTGCTCTTCGGTCAAAAATGACCCCCATAGGAAATGAATGGGAAATTGTAAAAAATGAAAAAAAAAATTGTGAATTTTTTTTTTTTTTTTGTCAAATTTTTTAATAAGAAATAGTTTTTGAGATTGTTTCAACTATATATTCAAATCCACCACCAACAACAAAAAATGTGTTCATAAACAGCTGGGGAATTCACATGCCTCTCCATAGAGAGCTGTACATGCCATCTAGTGGTTCTACGCTTTTTCTCTGTACTGTAACCAGATGGTGCT